CCAAAACAAGTACAATATATATATATATATATACTCATTAATTAAAGTGATATATACTCACTAATTAAATGTAACAGTGAAAGATTTGCCCATATATTGGTATTGAAATAAAGAGCACATTTTAGTATTATGGACACACAGTTCACCTGTCAATTTGGTCATTTTCCGGGGGGTACGTTTATTCCGGAGGGTATGTTTATTAGACTTTGAAGATTTGTCCGGGGGGTATGTTTATTCCGGGGGGTATGTTTATTAGGGACATGAGAGTATGTGCATTTTTTTGTGTATTGACTAGAACTAGCTACATTTGTACATTTTGAATGAAATAATGGCAATAGTTTCCGAATAGTTTTTACTATGATCAACACTTCCTAAATTCTGAGTGGTGTAGGTAAAAACTTGTCTGGTGCAGGTAACTTTCAGATTGTTACTTGCACCAGTGCAGGTACATGTATGTAGCAAATAGCCTCCATAGCATGCCAAAAACTGGGGGTTTTGGGGGTCTTCATGGTCTTTGGGAGCTTTTATGTGCTATTTTCTGATTGCATATAGACAAAACAGCCGAAGACCACCAAACCCCCAGTTCTATAAGCAGGCAGCTGAACGGAGGCTATGACAAAAAAAAAAAGGATTTCAAGCCCTGCTAAAGCCTTGGCCAGACGTAAACACAAAGAAGGTGGATAGAGTAACATGTGGTCAATGCAGAGTGTTTACACAATATGGCTACAGTTCCTCATATTACAACCATATAGAAACAAACCTCTGGCTGATCACAAGACACATATGACCTCTAGGCCATTTAAACTTACCTGGTTTTAAATTAAATAGCAAAGAAGCCTTTAAATGATTTGATTTAAAAACATTTATGGTAGATCAAAAATGTTTGTGTGAAAACTATAAAATCGCAGGGTTTTGCATACTACGGAAACAAAGAGAACAGTGTGCAATTCCTTATCTTATCGCTTTTTGTTGCTGTACGGAGATAAATAAATTATAAGTACCAGGTCAACATGGACTGATAAAACACAAGGAGTCTTTGTTGATTCTTCTAGGGGGCCCCGCAAGCCCTTTTCCATAGAGCTTAATCGGCTGTTTTAATTCTACGTAGAGCGTAGACGGACCGCATTTTGCGTAGAGCGTATTCGCCATTTTAATTCTACGTAATGCGTTGTGGCCACTTGGAATCTATCGTTAAGCGTAATCGAGAAGTTTCCGAATTCAGCGTAGAGCATTGTCAGGACCGTATACAGAAAGTCAATCTATTATTGAACAACCCTTTTGTTTCTGTATTAGACAGCTGTTGCAAAATTAAGATAAATATTTTCGGGGGGAAAATAATCCTTGAATATAATAGAATGCACCAGTAAAACATAACAGACAATAAATTTACATATTAACAGATACCGTATAGTTCCTTTCTCTTTTGTAAGAAGGAAATAGATTCAACTTTTCAAATGTTTTTAGCGGCTAGACCAGTCCCAACATGTTTCATGCCTTCAGGCTATTCAGGTGCAAAACAATGAAAAAATCAAAACAAAAGATAAGTAATGCTGCTGGCAGAAAAAGATACTCTTTCTGTTTTGCATGATTTTTCTCTCTTATTCCTTTTTTCTAACATAACATTTTAAAAACAAAGCCTTTAGATGACCATTTTCTTTGCCCCTTTCATTTCAATACAATTGTGTATGACTTCATTATTCTGATATAGAAAACAGTGTCATACATTATATCAAAATAATGCATATGTATGCATTAATGTAATAAAGTAATACATAGGAAATCATTGATGAAAAAAATAATGCAAATGCAATTTCACAATAATACATAAGACATAAGAAACCTTCATTAGCATTAACAGAATTTGCAAAAGTCTGAATCATTGCTAATTTACAGATACTGTAAAATCACAATATCATGGAAGATTAAAAACCTTAAGAGAAAACATTCATATACGTTAACATTCAGTTACAAATCGTTTACAATGTATCTCATTAACATGAACTCACCTTTCTTTTTGAAGAACCCCTGGCGTATGTTGTAGCAGAGGTCGGAGAATTCGATGTCGACAGGCTGACGTTTTGGGAGATGCGAGAGGGAGGGCCCGTGGTCCGATTTGCTGCGAGGGATGTGGCCGTTTTCCGCCACCGCGCCGGCTACGTTGTCCGGTAGAGCCTTGGATATGGTACCATTGGGCACATGTCCATTAGATTGGTTGGAAATACCTCCGGGGCTAGCTGGTGTGCTACTGGGCACTACAATCTCATCCAGAGGTACCTGTACTGTCACTGTCGTCGTCATCTTTTAACACCCTCCGAAAAACCCCTTTAGACCCTCTTCTTAAGCCTGCAAGAAATTGGAATCCTCTTTTAGACCTGGAGGCATCAAAACAGGAGCATTATAAGGAGAAGGCAGTCCGTGGTTCTGCAGCGGTCACCGGCAAAATTTTGGTCCCCGGCTAGATTCTCAGTTTTCCCTTTGTGCAAGCAGGAGGCAGTCACAATGATGTAACCTATCATGTGACCCTTTAAAGGTGGAGCTGTTCCATGTTGCTGTGAGGGGGGTTCAAATACCACACTTCTGTGAAACAAAAATAGAATGACATAGAAAACCACAATATTTCCAATATATAGCAGTAGAAAATGTATTTTTACATTAATCATACTATATAGATAACATTACAAATACACTACAATAATGACACAAAAAATAAGAAAAAGAAAAGATGGGCGATCCCCCCCTAAGCAGTTAGACCCATCCGACAGGTGATTGGTTGCTGCTGCTGCAGGGTATAACATTACAGCATTGGGCTGTTCCATTTTGGATGAAACTTAGGGAGGGCGATGACCAAATAAGGTCACTGAAAAGCAAATGCATAAAGCATTGTTTGCACAAACAAAAGATAAATTGGACTAGACATTCAGGATTGACTATTTCAGACTGCCATTATAATATACATCTGGTCTGAAAACAACAAAGTTGCATTTAAAAAAGAAAAGATAATAAAAAAAGAGGAAATATAAAACAGGGTGAATGGATCCTTTTCAATCCTATTGCCCAAATAGCTAACTTAAATTAATTTACATATATTCCCATAGGGATTGGGGCACAAGTGTACACTGACTGACTGATAGATAGAAAATTGTGGACTTTCTTCAACTGATAGTGACAAAAAGAGTACTGGAGCTGACTCACATTCTCATTTTTTATCATCATTTTAAATAAAAATCAGAAAAAAAACTAACCTTCTTCCACTTACCTGAATTGAGGGCTACCAGCAAATCTTGCGGAGTGGACGAAAGCTAAAAAGGCTCACACTCAGCTTAGGCCTAGGAAAAAAATGTTGTTTCCTGTTTCAGTCCAGAAAAAATTTGATGTGATGTCAATGTTGGAAAAACTGATTGTACAATGTTTCATCACTCAGGTGTCAGATCATGGAGCTAAAAAAATGTTGATCAGCTCGAAAATTTATGTCCATTGTAAGAGGCCACACAAAAAAAGGCTAGGGTCGGCAGTTTTTTCTAGGGTGGGTCTGTAAAAAGGATTTTTTCCCCTACTAGTAGGACCTAGGGCTTGTCTGGAAAGCAGTTTAAAAGCTATTAAGGGCTGAACTGTCTGGCAGGCTGTAACATTACATGGTAAGTGAGGCATGAGACCAGCACTTGGCTTGAGTACTTTGACACACATCCATGTAATATGATATTGAGGACATACTGTAGATACACTTACCTTTCTGTGTGAATTTAATTTCATGCTAGGAGTTGATTACTACTAAATGTAACACTAGTAGTAATAGAATGGAAATGCATATCCAATGACAGTTGTAATTCTTGTTAAGTTCACCAAGAAAATGAAAAGATTGCAAATATTAACGTTAAGATCTAACGTAAACAGTATAACGTTATGTTTCCATGACAATCACATATTAATTTGGATACATGATCTTAATTGTTGGGAGGTCCAGACATTAGACCACACAAAGAGCAGATTGTTAAGGGCTCTTTAACGTTTCAAACAGTTTCTAAATGTTGTGTACACGTGTGTACAGTATGTATATTTACGAAACTGACACACCGACAAACAAAAACACATACCTGAAAATCGTCTATCTGCATCTGTCTATCCGCTTGTAGTGCTCTGTGTTTAAATAGGAAAAAGTATGTATACCCTTTACATATCATGGTCAAAAACAAGCTTAAGTTCACTTCAATACGAACAGCAAACAAACAAACAAACAAACACGTCTCACTTCAGCAGTCGACCCTCCTCTTCTCCATCTTCTAATTCGTTGTGACTGCATCCAAACGACAAAAAATATTCATTCGTCGATGAAAACGTTCAATCCTATCTTCTTGACATTAAATACATTTCTTTTAAATCACTTTTATAAAATATCATCATTAAAATACAAATACAGAGGCATTAGACTCATTGTTTTAGAAATTGAATCATGCTCTTTGCGTTTAGCCTCGATCCTGAAAAAAAGCCGATGTAACAGCGACGTCTAGCGGTTACTAGTGAACGTCACAATCGCCAGTTTCAGTTCTGGTTTCATTCATCGTAAACAAATAACAATGTGTTCCAATTTGACGTATCACCATAGAAACACAAACGATGCTCGCAAGGAGGGGCTTTATTTGCTGTTGCTGCATATTTTCTACAATTTCAGTGGGGTTAGGTGAGTTTTTCCTAAATTTTTAACTCTGAAAACTTAATCTTGCTCTTGAAAGTACTAGCAGTGGCGGTCTAAAAACTGACAATATGCGTAGCCTCTACTAGGCTTTAGAGGTGACTGAAAGAATAACAATTGTACTGTTTACCGCTCTCTTTGGGGAACCAACTCTCCCTGCAAGTTATCTGTCTTCTTAGACAATTTTCAGTGCTCTTTTCAACCCCCTCTGAAGCCTGGTAGCCTAAATACGTGTACTTAACTACAGGTGTTTCCATCGATCACTATATACGGCGCTATGAGCCGGTTACCTACAACGCAACTGACGTTCACGGCCAGGTGCTCGCCCTGAAGGAGGAAAACGACGTCGCAACGCCCGTGCGGCTGGATTTTTCAGCCTTCGATAGGTAAGTTTCAAAATTCGTTGTTGATAGACACAATTCTTTGGTAATATTCATAAAAAGATCAAGAATAGAATGATACTCATGATTTGTAGCTTGAAAAACATGTTGTTTTTGCTCTGTTTCCTCTTCTTCTTCTCCAAACCAATAAGGTCAGTGACCTAAACCAGACGTCTGTCACCATAGTAACTAGTGTTGGGTTACATCATGTTGCAATTTTATAGCAGGGGGGATTTAGACTCCTGTCTGACCATGCATATATATGAATGTGTTTGATTTTAAAAGAATTAACAGAGAAGACCATATGCGAAGGTAAACATTATGCATTTGTTTTGCAAAGGTTACCTTTCTAGTATAGTGTATGATTTTGTTTATTTTTAGAAGCACTTATTATAAGCAATGCATCTTATTCGGAAGATAAATTTTCTTAAACAGATGTAGTGAGACTTTGAGATTATTCTGTTATTTATTTTTTTTTGCAGGCACTTCAAGTTGCGGCTTTTGCCGGGCGCTAACGTTCTAGAACATGGCGTTCTGGTTAACATCTACAGTTCTAGCGGAGTCAGTTCCAAACCGGTCAACGCAGACATTCTCTTTAGAGGAAAGCTAGAAGGTACAGATCAGTTAGCCTCTATCAGGCTTCGGGAGGCTCTAGAAGAGTCTAGAAATTGGCCAAATACTGAGAGATAACATGCCGGTCCACTAAAGAGTATATTAGCTGTAATTTGCTCGGTATGTTATCTCTCTATTTGGCCAATTTCAACTCTTCCCAATTGCCTCCCGAAGCCTGGTAGAGGCTGCAAATTAGCTGGAGCTGGAAAACATATTCTTTTTGCTCAGTTTCTTCTTCTTCTCCAAACAAATGAGGTCAATGACCTGAACCAGACGTCTGTCACCATGGTAACTAGTCTTATTTTATTTTCATTCAGATGAGGCAGAGTCAGTTGTTCACGGGCACATCCAACGGGGACTGTTTAGCGGCGTTGTCAAGACAACCAACAGCACGTACCAAGTGGAACCGGCTGACAGATACCGCCCGTTCTCGCGAGACTTCCCGCTCTCGCGAGACTTCCATTCCGTCATGTACGACCACAATGACGTCATCAACGGATCACGCGATGACGTCAACGTCTCCTTGAACTTTGCCTTCGTGGATCACGTGACAAGAATGCGCGCAGAAGTCATACATCTGGAATCGGATTTTTTCGACCCCAAAATACCACATTCTGAAGAAATGCATGACAGGAATTTCACTGAATTTAAGAGAAAAGCTTGGGCGAAAAGCAGGTAAAATATATTCTGTATCTGTATAGCCGGTATAACCGCCCTTCGGCGTAACACACCAGCTTCGCAGGCACGCGGCGCAGCGGCAGCTGGCTACATTACACCGATCGACTTGTTACACCTAACCCTTGAACTCTAACTCTAGACATTGCTTAAAGCTATCTAACGATAATGCCAGTACTGTACTTGGTGACAGTGAGTTCCACTCTGCAATAGTTTTACGAAGTAATTAGTTTTTGTACACCTTAATCCTTGGTTGATAACTCTGGTACTAGTACTTGTAGGCATGACTGTTTCTTGCTCTTGTCTGAGCTGGTATTAGTTACTTCTTAGTTGGTACGTCCACCAGTTTATTAGTCATTTTGTACATCATGCATAGTTTGGACACTGTATCTTTATTCTCTTACAGAATACCAGAGGTCAAACGGAGGTCACTTGACGCCCAGATGACGACATGCACAGTTCACGTGGTAGCAGATCACCGGTTTTACCACGTCATCGCCGGAAGTGACGCAGTCAGGGCCATAGCGGAAATGGTGCTCCATCTGGAGGAAGCAGACCGGATATTCAGACACACAGACTTCGACGATGACGGAAATGGTTAGCCTCTACCAGGCACCGCGGATCGCTGGCAAAATAGTAGAAATTGGCCGAAATAAAGGGATAGGTTACCAGAAAAGATCCCGAGGGTCGCGAATTGGAGCTTCTATGGCCCGGGATCTTCCCTCTGGTATACTATCACTTTATTTCGGCCAATTTCTACTATTTTTCCAGCGATCCACGGTGACTGGTAGAGGCTAGGAAATGGTAAATTTCAAAGTGTCCGATCAACATGACTTCACTTGTAACTTAACGTTAAGTAGGTATATAAAGCAAAGTAAAGTAACATTAAGTAACGTAACGTAACGTAAAGTATAGTGAAGTAAAGTAATTGAAGTGACGTAATCATCATCATCATCATCAACAGCTCATTGCGATGATGATGATGATGATCATCATCATCAGCTCATTGCGTAGTAATCTAATGTAATGTAAACGTCTCGACATTAGTCTCCTTATAGTATACCACGTTTAAGGGCTTTGGTTTTGCATTTAAAAAAGCCTTTTATTTGTTTCGCACAAAAATGTACAAAATGATACCAAACTACCTCGTACCATGGTGGGTTAGATGTAGCTCCACCTTTGTACGAAGTTAAATGGTCCAAAACCCGGTAGTTTTGATCAAAACCCCTGAAAAACCAGCATGCGATTCTAGCGCGGAAAGTACGTTCAGCACCAAGGAGAGGGCCAGTTTTTCCGAGGTGTAACGCCACCATCGGACTGTAGGTGGCGCTTTTATGACGCCGCGCACCAACATGTAACTCTATAGCTATCACATAACTTTTTTCTCAAGTTGAGTAGAATAGTAATGCATTTACAGAAATTTACAACAAAAGTACAGCGACTTTCGTAAGGCCTTAAACTACATGTAAACATACATGGGTATACATGGGTACACCAAAATTGACCTACGCACAAAACAATGAATGAATTAACTTATACTATTTGTTCTAAAGTCTAAACATTCTTTGATATATTAACCTATTTGTACACAGTAAGGGTATACCTTTCTAGAGTGAAATTGAATTTTTCTATAGTATGACATGTAAGAAATTTTTGCAGGTGACAACGTTGGGTTTTCCATAACCGCAATCTCCCTCTACACCGACGAACAATCTACGGGCTACAATCTCGGCGGGCACTACAGAAAAGCCGACGACTACCTGGGGGATTTTTCTCGCAACAACTTCGAGGACTTCTGCCTCGCCATTGTCTTCACGTACCAGGACTTCTCAGGCGTGCTGGGGCTGGCATGGCTGGGTAGCTCATTGCGAAGAATTCCAGGAGGTACCATGTATTTTCATTAACATACTTAGAGTATACGTTCTTTAGCTTTTAAGCCCAAGAAATTTAGTAATATTGGCTCGGCTTTCTGTACACAAAGTTATACAATAATCTGAAATCTAATATCTATCGAAAATGGAAGTAGTTACACTTGAAACCAAAGTGCCCCCTGAAAATGTCTCTCCAGAACCTCGAAGTACACGCAGAAAAGTACGGTAGCCCAGAAGTGCACAAGGAAAGTACAGTAGCCCAGAAGTGCAGACAGAAAAGTACAGTAGCCCAGAAGTACACACAGAAAAGTACAGTAGCCCAGAAAATGGACGGAGTCCAGAAAAGGAAAGTCACACTCAATAAATAAAATACCCACAGAAAATGTAAGTAGCCCAGAAAATTGAAGTACAAATAGAAAATGGAAGTACACACAGAAAATAGAAGTACCCACACAAAATAAAAGTACCCACAGAAAATTAAGAGAAAAACAAAAAAACAGTGTACCAATGGGCCACCGTACCTACCATCATTATTTTATTTTGCTCCCAAACCAGGAATCTGTCAGAGGAGAGTCCTTGTAGCGTCTGATTGGACAGAGAGAAGCTTCAACACGGCTATGGTGACCTTTGACCGGTTCGGGAGCCAGATGCCCAGAGCAGTGACCATCATCTCAGTGGTGCACGAATTCGGACACGGCTTTGGCAGTCCGGTTAGTGACAAGTCAGATTTACCTACGGTGGCCCGTTGGTACAATGTTTGTATCAATGTATTGTCATGAGTAGTCACATTGGCTATAAATACATGTACGTGTACAGGTGGTCACTTGTACAAGTTTGACTGTACACATCATTGTTTTACACATTTTCTTGCGTTATAAGCCTACCTGGGTTCATAATGACATTTGGGGAGTAAAAGATTGTCATTGCACTGCAAAAAAGTGTGTTTTTTTTTACATTCTTTTTAGGAGCCTCCTAAAAACACAGTAGGCCTGGCGCAACTTTACAATGCGCTGGAGTCACTGGAAACGCAAAATAGCGACGCTAATATGTTGACAGGTATTGGCAATCAACTGACAATTAACTTACAACCTAGATGAGAAATTTTCAATTATTTTCGCTTTAAACCAGTTGTTTGTTTTGAAGCATGACCCGGAGGAGTGCCGGCCGGGCGGAGCGCAGGGGAACTACGTGATGTATCCCTACGCCACGGACGGCAGGCGGCCGAACAACGACGACTTCTCACTGTGTTCCAAACAGAGTATGCGGCCTGTCATGGCAACCAAGGGCGCCAGGTGTTTGGAAGGTCAGTAGACTGAGAGTATACTGGTTTGATCACTAGCAGCCCGATAGGATTGTGGTATACTATAGTAGAGTGTTCAGCTCATGGATCAGACCCAATAGGTCCTGGGTTCGAATCCTGCCCTATGCAATCAATCTTGTGCCTTTCCCAAGTTTCATGGTAATATTGGAAGTTTTGTGGGTGGTTAAGCTGTTGGTTAATGTGTATTTGCAGAATGTCAGAAGTTCAAAAGGTCAGACACAGGAAAATTGGAGGAGCATAAAGGTCTTTGAATCTGGCCATGGGGCCAGGAGTAATTAATTTTCCTAATTTCTTTTCGCACATAGTTCATGATGGCCCCTACTGCGGCAATGGCATTCTGGAGGAGGGGGAAGAGTGTGATTGTGGAACAGCTGCAGAATGTGCTGTTCTAGACACCTGCTGTACTCCCCCTGGAGGTTTTAACCATGACCCACAATGCACCTTTAAGCGCAATGAGGGAAAAGTCTGCAGGTAAATATATCGATTTTTAGTTTAGAATATGTTGTCCTGAAATATACTTTTGAAGGCTGCTATTTGGGGCATTTAGTACATTTGTACATTCATTCATTCATTCATTCATTCATTCATTCATTCATTCATTCATTCATTCATTCATTCATTCATTCATTCATTTATTCATTCACTCATTCATTTTGTTCATATTTAGTGTTAACCCACAGCATGAGCCATCTTGTTTTCAGTTCTGTTTTGATTCAATTAAACTTTTTTGTTCACCTTTCTGCACTTAATAGTATATGCAACTGTGAGAGTCTGAGTTTTTTTTTTACAACGATCTCTGATTGTTTAAACTAGTACAAAGTCTAAAAAAATAAAACTCATAAATGTCAGTACATCCATAGGAGAAACTCTTCTTTTTTCCCTGTAGCCCATTGCTGTTCCCATGCTGTAATGTTGACTGTCACGTTGTACCATCTCACGAGAACCGTACATGTGCAGAGGCAACAGAGTGTAGTGAGCCTGCAGTCTGTACATATCCTTTCCATGGTCTCTTAGATACACATCTTAACAGGCATCCAATGCAGTTTTTAGGGCTTGGAAACCCGATTTTTCAAAGCAAATATTATAGTCATTTATCACACACACACACACACACACAGAGAGAGAGAGAGACACAGAGACAGACAGACAGACAGACAGACAGTCTAAACTTAATAGTGAGTGAAAAAGAAGCACAACATATATTGCCATTGCTAATAATCCTTAACCAGTTTATACTGGAGACAGCCTATTCTGCCCCCCTCCCCACCATCTCCCAAATGGAACCCTGTGTAGTGATGGTTCTAGAGTCTGCCACAACGGGGCGTGTGTGGAGAGTGTGTGTTCTCACCTGGGCATGGACGAGTGCTTCTGTGAGGGAAGTGTCCAGGAGATGTGCTACGTGTGTTGTCAGGTTAGGGAATACTGCCTTGCCAATTTGATACTGTCTTTGCAGCGGCATCAAAAGACCTGATTGAAGATTGCCTTGCTCAAGTAATTGAACTAACATCACTACTGAACTGGTTGACGTGCATACTATGTAAGAGCAATTGAAACTTTGAGTAATGCTGCGTTTGCTTGTGTTGAATAAAAGCATCAGATTAAGGTGAATTTTGTCTGGAATATACCATCACAGATCCATACTAATATTTCAGTTAGAATCAGCGTTTTACCAAAAGAGAGCATTTCAGTACCACAAGGGATCTCTCTATTGTACTGAAACATTGAGCATTATGATGTAACAGCCTTCAGTTTATAATTCTGGACTGCCAGTTTGATTCCGGACTAATTCCCATATCTCAGCAACCTTACATCTAGATGGCTAATATCGTAAACTATAGGTAAAAATGATGTAACAGGTATGTAACAGCCATCGAGGACCCCTTGGGGATTAACCCAATTCTGCAGAATTCTGGGAACTGGAGCCAGAATTACATGTATATGAATCGCAGAAATGCATTAATTCGCAAGGGGTCCTCAATTGCTGCTACATACTTCTTTCATCATTTTACCTATAGTTTACAATATTAGTCCGTCTAGATATAAGGTTGCTCAGATATAGAATTAGTCCAAAATTAAACTGGAGGTCCAGAATTAAACAGGAGGCTGTTAATATGTGTTTTTCTGACAGACTGAAGGCGGACATTGTGTCAGCAGTGTGTTACTGGGCCTGGGAGATCCGTCTGGTACACATCTTGTTAGAGGACCTGGAAGTATTTGTAACGATTATAAAGGTGAGAAAACATGTTAACAAAATTACGAAATACAACCACTTGAAATCTTGATACAATGGCTATCCTTGATCTAAAACATTTTTCTCACAGTTTATTCAATTGCATTTTGCATTGTGCTCTTGAAAGTGTATAGTAAGTACCTATACTGTACATTTTGAAATATTTACAGTGTTTTTTAAGTTGGCAGCTGGTAACTAGTGTTAGGTTACATCATGTTGCAATTTTATAGCAGAAGGGATTTATACTCCTGTTACCATATATGTGGAGGTGTTTGAGTAAGAATTAACAAAGCACACCATATGCGAAGGTAAACTTTATGTATTTGCTTTGCAAATGTTACTTTTCTAGTTACATGTTGTTTTTGCAATTTTTGCATTTGCCTGTGACGGTAACTGTTGATTTTAGGTTACTGTACCCAGGATGGACGCTGTGTGAGGGTTGACACTGACGGTCTACTGAACAGGCTCAACAACATGTTCAACATGGACGGCAGGGGCAGTGTGGGGTGGTGGCTCAGAAACTACTGGTGCGTTTGTTTGTTTGTTTAATGATTTATCAACCTTTCATGCATATAGGGTATAGTTTCTTTAGCCTATGACAAAATTTCATGCAAACTAACACACTTTGTGACCTTGAATTTTGCAATGAGATATTATAAGTGGATAATACTGGAATATCCTGTTTCAACTAGGCACTTCTAACCTTTATGTGTTTAATTATCTAGTGAAGATGGTGGCAATGGGTTCTATGATGGTTGTGATAGTTGTTGAAAACAAATGCCTGAGTTTTTGAACACCTTTCTCTTGGATTTATAAACTCTGCAAAAAAACATGCATGAAGCCATGAGCTTTTCTTGTTATTTCCTGTGCAGTTATGAAATTGTTATTAGATAATAATTGCTAATGTGTATTTGTGACATTTCACAGGTACTATGGCGTCCTGGTCATTGCTGGGTTTGCTCTACTAGTAGGAGTCTTGCGAGCAGCACTCAAGTAAGTTTCTTGTGAATTTCAGATTCTTGAATATTGATAAGAATTAAACCAAGAGGGTGGATATCCCGCATATCTATCAAAGCTGCCAAGAAAGAAAGACTGTTAAATATAGCACATGTCATATGATGTTTTTATCGTCCTCTACATGAATGTCTTTGATTTAGTTGATAAAATCTGCACTATCCACTTGGCTTGAGTAACTGTTTTCGGGTGTACCTTATTACTTCGATGGCACTGAACTGGGTACCACAAGGAAAAAGAAGGAGGGGGGGACAACAAATGACTTGGGAAAAACCGTTACGAGAGACTTAGAAGAGATGGGTATGACTTGGGAGGGAGCCCGAAGGACAGCACAGGACAGAAGACAGTGGAGAGCGGTGGAGGCCCGCATCGATAGATGACTACAGCGGCGAAGATGATGATGATGATGATGATTACTTTGATGTCTAACCTTAACCAACATATTTATTGTATGTTCCCTGTATCAGGAGGCGTATTGCTGACACAGTTCGAGTCCAACAGGCCGGCAGGTTACAGGCGCTGACTCTGGAGGCTCACAAACAGCTGCAGCTGTTGGACGAGAAACTGCGAGAGTTGGAGGCAGATGGTGATGATTACATCACTAATGGAGAGACATTGAACCTTCCAGCAGATCTATGTGAGTATGGAGGGTTACTAAGGACTGTACGTGTTCGCCTTGCATTTGGTAGGTCGTGGGTTCGATCCCCGGCCGAGTCATACCAAATACTTTAAAATGGCACATACTGTTTCCTCTGCTCAGCACTCATCATTTGAGAATTCAAAGTGTATGGGAGTTTAAAACACACCACTACCAGCGGACTAGCCCTATGCTGTATGCATATACATAGTGATTACACAACTGTGTGGCCGAAGGGCTATGAAATGGAGATGGGCGTGGCCATATGTGACCATGCTAATGGTTGCGAGAGGTTGAAAATTCCTGTCACCAATTGCAATGTGTTGGTAAAAAAAATACTGCATAGTGCAACCGTGAAAACAGAGTCTATGGTGTACACTGTACATTAATTATCAGATGAGCATTTTAACAATGTGAAATCTTATACATTTTGCCCAAATTGCATAGAAAACAGAGAAGACTTTGTTTTATTTTAGTTTGATTTCCTATTACAGCTGATGAAGTCAACCGACTGAGTGCTCTTTTCCCTACCACCAAGCGCTCGTTGCTTCTGGAGAGTATTATGGGTTGTGATGACGAGGAAACCGTCATACGTAATCTCCTCGCTCTGGGACATCCAATGAGAAGGCTGACAGCTGTGACATCATAAATAGCAATCTCCGACAAATGGACTGTTAGCATGCTTTGCTGATACAATTCATCTGACCATCAAAAATTTGACCTTGAAAATGTACTGGGCTTCTTTGTTTAACTTTAATGGTGTACTGTAACATTGCTACTTGGATCCATGGCTACTAGAGGCATTTTTGTGACCCTATAATGCAATTTACTATGCAATTATTAACACTTCAGTAGACTAGCTGAAAAAATGTATTATTCAAACTTGCTGATGCTAGAAAAATGTATGCAATCGACAGCTGCACAATATATACTTCTCACTAATGAAGGTTAGACATACAGCTAGAACATTACATAAATAAAACCACAAATAAATAAATGAAAAATTCTCTGAAGACTCTGACTTTTCAAATACATATCTGCTATCTTTCATCCCTAACTGAGAATGTTTTATTTTGTTTTTTATGGTTTTATTTTGGTTCAGTGTAACCTGAGTAATTGATTGCGGACAATTGTGACCTTGAAGTTTCACCTTTCTTTTATTCACCATTCTTTGTTACAAACAGCAAAGTTACATACTTGTTGTTTACCCTTACCATTCTTGTACCATTTAGGCCTGACCATCATGTATAGAAAATAATGCCAGATGTTGTTGTGCAGTATGTTATTAACCTTCTGCTTTGAATAATTTCATAACATTTTTTCCATGATGGTCCACTTTCTAACAAAGTCATACAATCTCCAATAGCTCACACCATTCAAGCTTCCTGAAACTTTTTTTTCAACACACAGCTTCAAGACAAGTAACTTTTTGTTGCCTTTCTCCCACACTACATTTGGTGTCTAAGTGTCGAATGAAGCAAGATATAGCTCTGCTAAATGTGCCATCATGTGTGTAGTTAAATGTAAACTTTTCCTTAACAGAAAGATCGCCTACTTTTCACATCAACTGCTTAAAGTAATGAATGTTCTCAAACAAACCCATGTTGGTCTGCATGCTTTTAGAGTAGCATCTTTCAGAGATGAATGTAAAGTTTCAATTTTATGTAAATGCTAAACTTTTTTACAACAGAAAAAAAACTTACCTTTCCCATCAACTCAGTACCTTCCTGCTGATCTCAAACTATTCATAAAGGATTATAATGGATTCATGGCAAGATACTAATGTTCAACAGAAACATTTAGATATTCATTGGACAATCGTGTAATATAATTCGAGTATCTTGTGACTGAAAATACATGTAATTCGAGCATCTTGTGACCAAAATACATGTGATTTGAATATCACATCGACCACAAATGTATTTTGGATGTAATGTATTTTATGGTTGGTTAAATGCATTGGATGGTTGACTTGGTAAATTGGCAAATCAAAGACTCAGATCTTGATCACGATTTTGTGGTACCAGCTGCAGGAACCACAGTAATCATGGTTCCAGTATGTTAATGTAAGTTGACCTCTACAAGCATATCTCTCTATTGACTCAGAGATAATTGTGAGCTTCACTACGGATAAACACTAATCAGCTAAGGGCACTTTAAACTTGATGTGTTACACCAAAGGGCGGTTATACCGGCCATACAGTTACAGATACTTGCTGATACTTTACCAGATACAATCACGAATTGACATCCAGTTATTCATGACTACATTTTTCCTAACATCAACAACTTTGACATGAGAAAAGGCCAGCTTTCCTCACTTTTACGCAAACACGTCAAAACCATGTAACCATCACAGCATTTAGGTATTGCAGAGCTTGAAATACCTTGACCTGCATACATGTTTTATGCATTGTTATTGTCTGAGAGGTAAAATTGGAGCTGCACAGGTATTTAATCTGATGTCTACCTGTGCCTCGCTTGCACCTGAAGCAACATATAGTACAGAAAATGAAAAATCCACATACATCGTATATTATGTATACCATACATGTAGATGTATGTAGATTTTTATTTTCTGTTACTACTTACCATGAGTATTAAAGAAATAATGTCAATGGTTTTTGAACAGATGTTAGTATGGTCTAGCCTTTACCAGGCTTCAGGAGGCGGCTGGAAAGAGCTAAGAAATTGAGGCAAAATAGAGAGATAACATGCCAGGGGAGTTGGGCTGCTAGAACTCTGTGCAAACTCTGTAGGCTAAGAGGCTCAGTATGTTCCATGGATACTTCCTAAATTCTGAGAGATGCAGAAAAAATATGTCTGGTTCATGTAATTTTCAATGTTACCTGTACTGATGCAGAAAGGGTATTTCGAGCCCCGGAGGGAGAAACTGACAGCTCGTTGGCAAATAATGTACTGCGTCTTTGCGAAACCCTGTTTTTTCACGGTTTTCGTTAGTTGTTTGGTCACCGTTGTCTTGGAATTTTGCCTGTTGCAGGCTACATCTTTTTCAACATAACATTCGGAAACTACAGACGGGATGTTAACCTTATATACCCAAATACGACCTTACACGAGACGTTCTGCCGAATTGCTATGCACACATTGTACATTACAGGTTTCACGCAGGTGCAGTACATTCTGCCGACGTGCTGTGCATGAAACTCCCTCTTAGACCACAGCAAGTAATTTTTATGGATGACATCAGCTCGCAAATTTTCGGCTAATTTCGGAAGAAAAGAAGAAAATTTGTTGGCCTTTAGCAGTGGTTAACATGCTGAAGATGGGCAAAGATGTTTTAACGTTAACAAGGTTTATTATGTCAAAAATTTAAACTGTAGGAATCTTGCGTCGATGCAGGTTAGACATCCAGGTAATAAGATACGCCAAAAAGCAGTTACTCAAGCAACTGGATATATGATTTTGGAAAATCATATCCAATTGCTTGAGTAACTACCTTTTGGTGTAGGAATCTTGTTTTGTTTTGCTTTTTTGCCCGCCTTGTATTGTTTTACCACTATCGCATTAGATTTGCAGTCTGTGGAGGATGTCATCCATAAAATTTACTTGCAGTGGGCTTAGTTGTTCAGCAGGGATTGTATCATTGCGATTTCCTCCGGCCCCATGGGAGGCGGAGGGTAGGGGTCGGGCTCACCCTTGGCGCGGCACGTCTTCTGCTCCAGGTACGGCAGGGTGGTGATGTCCCCACAGGCCGTCGGTATCCTCTTGCGGAAGCCTCCGCAGGCCTTGGACAGAGTCTGTGTAATACAAGGAAGATGGATGCCCTTGAGTGTGCATCACGATCGTATGTGTGTGTATCTGTGTGGGCATGTGCACTCTGTTAGTGTGTGACAATGATGTATATTACGGTTGTGTGTGTGAGAGTGTGTGTGTCTGTGACAGAGAGAGCATGTGTTTGTGTGTGTGTGTGTGTATTTTAGTGTACATGTGCACTGTGTGTGTGTTTGTGTGCGTGTGTGTGTGAGTGTGTGAGTGTGTGTGTGTGTGTGCGTGTGTGTGTGTGTGTGTGTGTGTGTGTATCTGTGTCCGTGTGTGTGTGTGTGTGTGTGTGTGTGTGTGTGTGTGTGTGTGCATGCATGCGCGCGCGCGCGTGTGTGTGTGCATGGAATTGTGTACACTCACCGGTGTGCTCGGGAACAGCATGCTGAAGCGCGGGACAGACCTGGGCCTGGTCAGGGGCCTTCCGTTAGGGCCGACGCTCTCACCTCCGACCACCTTCAGGTCAGGGTTGGCGAAGGTGAGGTCAGCCCGAGCCGAGGTGCAGCACTGGTCCTCCTCTCCGGGCTTACAGGTTCCGACCAGGGCACAAGGCGGCAGGGTCTGACCTGAAAAAGCACAAATTTGATTGTTTTTTTTTATTTGATTCATTGAGATTGTAACAATACAATACACGTGGAAAAAAAGCAGCTGTTGCTGGTGTTGTGTCCCACACATAGAACAAATACAGGACAGACAATACTCATTTTCGCTTGAGTTAAGTGAGGAAAGTCGTGTAAAGTGCCTTTCCCAAGGGCACAAGATCGGTGGTATGTCAGGACTCAAACCCGGGACCTATTGGTTCCGAGTCGAGCACTCTGCCTTTATGCCACACGACCCCACACATATAATTGCATAAGATTCACTGATAAAAAAAGGAAACTGGTATAGAATTCAATGCTGAAAGAAATGGCATTATCACATATACATCTTTAGAGGCTCACGGCCACAACACCAGACCTAGAGTGCTACCATCATCTTTCGAAATGGAAGGATGCCTACCTTTAGAGGTTCTAGGGGCAATGTGAGTGCTTCAAACCTTACAATCCGGTCTGACAAAGCTTGTACTTACATGTACAAAACTGGTGTGTTGTGCCTAAAGGCGGTTTACTGGTTATGCAAAACAAACCAAAGTAACCTAGTACGTACCTTTGGTGAAGGTGGCAAACGTCAGGTCAGACAGCACAGGCACGATTTTCTCGCCCTCAAACTTCACCCGCACTTTCTCATACCTGACTTCGGTATGTCCAGTCTGAAATATGCCAAACAGAGAGAACTATCAGTACAACAATTTTTCTGGTGTCGTGTGGCGTAACTGCAGGGTGCTCGACTCAGAACCAAGACGTCCCAGGTTCGAGTCCTGATATGCCACCGATATTGTGTGTGTGTGTGTGTGTGTGTGTGTGTCTGTATGTATGTGTGTCTGTATGTGTGTGTGTGTGTGTGTGTTTGTGTGTGTGTGTTCGTGTTTGCGTATGTGTGTGTGTGTTTTTGTGTGTGTGTGTGTTTGTGTGTGCTTTATTCAATAGTCTCCATACGTTATGTATACCATTGTACAATTGTTGTGCAGTAAAAGTTCTTCTGCATCGTGTAACCAGACCCTTACCGAAGGGTGGAAGGCCTTCAGGGTCCTGTACGGGTAATGGAGCTCCATGTACTCGGCGGGGTAGTTCTTGGACATGTCGTGGCAGTAGACCTCGATGGACACGTTGCAGTTCCGGAACGGGAAGATACCCTTCAGTCCGTCGTCCCTGTCAGGGATGTCATTGCAGGAAGTAGGCAGTCCTGTCAAAGCACAGTGGTGAATAGATGAATAACTAGAAATGTACCATTTGAAAAGCCTTTACCAGGCTTTGGGAGGTGGCTGGAAAGAGTAGAAATCGACCAAATAAGAGAGATAGCATGCCAAGGGAGTTAGTCTGCTGGGAGAGAACAGTTTGCCGCTCCCAAAGCCTGTGCGTAGTAGCAGTCTGGAGCGGCAAACTGTTCTCTCCCAGCAGACCAACTCCCCTGGCATGCTATCTCTCTTATTTGGGCGATTTAAACTCTTTCCAGCCACCTCCCAAAGCCTGGTAGAGGCTAACATTAAAAGCAAATTCATAATGTTTACCTTCGCATATGACCTGTTCTGTTAATTTTTAGTCAAACACATTCATATACATGGTGACAGGAGTCTAAATTCCTCCTGCTATAACATTGCAACATTATGTAACCCAACACCAGTTACCATGGTGATAGGCGTCTTGTTCAGGTCATTGACCTTATTTGTTCGGAGAAGAAGAAGAAACAGAGCAAAACAATATGTTTTACCCCAGTCAACCAACCAACCAACCAACCAACCAACCAACCAACCATCAAACCAACCAATCAATCAACCATCCAAACGGGACCAACCTACCAACCAGCCAGCCAGAAAACCGACGATTGCTGGTAAACATTATCTATCATATCTATCGCTAGGGTGATGATAACTATAAGGGACCAAGTACCTTTGGCACGCAGTGGTTCCAGAGTGGGAGGCTTGACCTCCTCAGGGTCTGGTCCCATGAACCAACCATGGGAAGGCAGGAAGTCGTCATCGTCGGGAGTTGGCGTCACATCCGGTTTGGTTTCCAGGTCAGGGTCAGTGGCCTTCTTCTTGTCAGCGTCCATGTCAGGAGAGATCGGTGGGCTGGAAAGAGAGAAAACGTTTTAAAACACTCCTAAGTATTAAGCACATCGGCGTAGGATACTGCACCTGGCTTTGTGCATGGCTTTCAAATAGAAGGGGTAAAAGGCATCTGTCCTTGGTGCTGAAATACACCAAAGCTAACAAGAGCTGTTGCTAACCTTGACTTTTCACGTTGTTTTGTACATTTCGGGTCAAAATACAGTCACAAACTTGCCCTATGTGTCAGACACCGTTATTCTCATATAACATTGAGACTTTTCAGCCATAGCATAAAACTGTATGGCTGATAATCAATTAGGATTTTACAATGGTCAATCACACTGACTAAAGGAGTTCACGCTAAAACAGCAATGGGGTACAATTGGACACAGAGATAATGTAAAAGGTGATCAACTATAAAACTATATATGGACTGAAGTATAATATCATGAAACAAGTTTTAAAACAAAAAAAAATTGTACTTACCCAAATTTCTGAATGTACAACTCCAGTCTTTGTCAATGAATGAGCAATCCACCTCTTTTTTGACAAAGACTTGACTTGTACAGCCGAAAATTTGGGTGAGTCCAATTTCTTGTGATGGAGATTGCAGTTAAAACTTGTTTCAAAACGACTACTACAAACACAGATGGACTTCCAAAGTATGACTATGATATTCTTAAAACGAGTTACCTTGGATGATCCGTGGGGTTGCCGTGCTCGTGTTCGTGGTCGTGTTCGTGCGCATGCTCGTGTCCATGGTTACCAGCTGCCTTCTGGCGCAGGTGGAGGAGGGAGGTCAGGCTGAAGCTCATCTTCCGGGCCAGCTGGTCCAGGTGGTTCTGTAGGAGCAGATTTTTGTTTGTTTGTTTGTTTGTTTCGCATAACCTGTAAATCGCCTTTTATGCATAACACAACAGTTTTGTACTTGTAAGTACAAGCTGCGTAAGACCTGACTGTAAGGTTACTATACTAAGCTGTAAGACCGGAATGTAAGGTTTCTCGCACCAAGAAGGTCCCTTACGTACACGTTTCGATGAGTGCGGTGGGTTCTTTAACCGGCCAGCTGGCCCAGGTGGTTCTACATGGTAAGAGTTAAAGTTAAAGAAAGATTTATATTCTGGATAAAAAATCCATATATATATATATATATATATATATATATATATATATATATATATATATATATATATATATATATATATATATATATATATATATATATATATATATATATATATAGTCCATGTGTATCCAGAACCATGACTGAGGCAAATCTACGTTCTTCGACTGAGGCAAATCACGGAGACTAATCAGAACCGCACCTGATCAATCCTAACCCTAACACATTCAGGAGAGAGAGAGGGAGAGAGAGAGACAAAGATAGAGGGGGGAGAGACAGAGAGAGGGAGAGAGAGGGAGAGAGACAGAAGGAGAGACAGAGAGACACAGAGAGAGAGGCAGAGAGACACAGTGAGAGAGACACACAGAGAGAGAAACGGAGAAACAGAGAGGCATGGTTAACGTTGTGGATACGATATTTGGTAAATATAAGCATGTTTAGCGTACCTGAGTTTTCAGCAGATTGACGTCAGCGTTGTTCTGTTTGGTTTGCTTGGCGATGACCAGAGTAGCGCAGGCCATGCCGAGCAGGGCCAGGATCCCGGCGGCCAGGGAGATCTTCCCCACCCGGCGGAGCAGCCGAGCCGACCCGCGACGCCCGTACTCCCGGTCCGTTATCCCTGCAGACATAGGGAAACTTTGTCATGTGTGGGGTCGTGTGGCGTACGTAGCGGCAGAGTGCTCGACTCGGAACCAAGAGTTAGGGTTAGGGCTAGGGTTGGGGTTGGGGTTGGGGTTGGGGTTGGGGTTGGGGTTGGGGCTGGGGTCAGGGTTAGGGTTAGAGTTAGGGTTAGGGTTAGAGTTAGGGTTAGGGTTAGGGTAAGGGTAAGGGTAAGGGTAAGGGTAAGGGTTAGGGCTAGGGCTAGGGCTAGGGTTGGGGTTAGGGTAAGGGTTAGGGTTAGGGTTAGGGTAAGGGTAAGGGTAAGGGTAAGGGTTAGGGCTAGGGCTAGGGCTAGGGTTAGGGTTAGGGTTGGGGTTAGGGTTAGGGTTAGGGTTAGAGTTAGGGTTAGGATTAGGATTAGGATTAGGGTTAGGGTTGGGCTAGGGTTAGGGTTAGGGTTAGGGTTGGGGTTAAGGAGGATTTGATGTTTTAGCCTCCTGTGCAAGCTCTGGGCATGGAGCGGGTGGGAATTTTTATAAAGCGTTGTGAAGAGTTTTAAAGGCGTTCTTATAATAGCCGTCCATCATACAACCAACAACCAGCCACGGGCGGAATGGAACCTTCTCTCGCGGTTGGTTGTAGGATGGCCGGCTATTAAAAGAACGCTTCAAAACGCTGTATCAAAATTCCCACCCGTCCCGGAGCCTGCACAGGAGGCTATTGATGTTTATTGTACCGTAGGATGAGATGTAGGTCCTGTTGGAAGTCGAGTCGCCGTCGCCATCGCTGGTGGCGCTCACGGTGGCGTTAACCGGGATGGACAGGGTCACGCCATGGTCTGAAAACACAAACGTATCTGTTAAAAAAGTTTTGAAAGTTAAAGTCATTCCCTCACAACGTGGTGTATAGGGCGGCGCCCATCTCCGGTTCAGTAGTCCTTGGGCCACACAGTTGTGCAATCACTACAGCAGGGGTCTAGTCCACTGGTAGTGGTGTGTGTTTAACTCCCATATTCTTTCCCAAATATTGAATGCTATCTGTTTCAAGCAAATAATTCTACCAACAAGCAATAGACATCTTCCCTCCATGAACGAGGTTGGTGTTGTTAGGGTTCTTTTTTATGTTATCGCGTTATATGTGTTCATTGTTAAAACATGACAGCTGGGTTTAAATTTAGTTGGACGTTATATGGCCATGAATAATGAGGGAGTTGCTTTGTGTTGGTACAATTTTAATTTTTATCATGTAAGTACCAAGCCAGATAAACTTTCAAGCGAGTTTTACAGTGGCCTCCTGTCGGCTTCACAGACTACCAGAAGTGACATGCAGACTATCACCATGAATAGTGGTATTTCCTAATAGCCTGAGAGATTTGTTTTCCTGGTGGTAGGAGTGCAAGGAGTCAAGTTACGAATGCACAACACCCAAGCTCCCTGTCTAAACCTAACCCCACAGGTCTCAAGTCCTTATCTATGGCAGCAAATAATCAATAAGAAATGCACAGCATACCTTGCAGAATAAGCTACACTACATATCTACAACCACCAACTATTATGGACACTAAAACACAGAAACTAAAAAAATACCACGAACCAAAGATAATCATAATCAATCCTGCAGAGGTGAGGTCATTGACCTCTCAATCACAACACAAACAAACCACCCCATTAGCAAGGCCAGTAGGTCAATGACCCAAAAACCAGACCAAAGAAATATATACTAGTAGCCTGTCAAACAGGAGGTAAAAATAGATACACTGCCATGTACCAACTGGGGTAAACACAGACCACACTACTATAAAATAGGGGTGATAATGTAGAAATCCTTTTAAATTAAGCAATACAAATATACGACAACCTGCTAATGCACTCTAAAACACAAAGAGACTCAACAACTACCCACATACCAAAAATTATACCAAACCATCCACCAGATTTTCCAAACATTCAACACAAAAAGACCAACGTTAAACATATTGTAAATATCAAACGCAAACAGCTAGGTAGCCCAAATTTAAACCACTAAACCATGGTAATAACAACTACATGCTACCTTAATATCGCACAAACAGTCCATAACGCGCAAACAACAGAATAAAAAAATTAAACTGCAGTACCAAGGTCAATCACCAGGGGCTCAAAGTCAACCTACACAATCTCCAAGGCCCCATCCATCAATCTGCCAAATATCGTACAGTTCCTTCTCACCGATCTTCAGATATCAGACCAAACATGAAACGGAGTAAAAACAATACCCCCATTTTCATGGAGGGTAATTAAGACCAATGACCTAGAAAAAGCGGATGTCGCCATGGTGGCTATATGCGCTAGTTCTGTAGTAAACATATGTGTTTGCTTTGCAAAAGCTACATTTTTAGTGTTTCTTATTAAACCAAATATCTTACCAGCAACAGGAGGCGGAGTATCTTCAGTATTGCCGCCTGGGTAGTATGTCTCAGGATAGCTGTTGTCATATCCTAAACAAAATACAATACGAAAATATAAGACACATGATATTTATGACATTAACATAATATTTACCAAATTAATTGTGCGAAGAAGCATCTTGTAAAATGGTAATGATATACGAGTGATGATTTGGTATACATACGTATCATTGTTCTGCAAGTTGTAAATGAAATATTACTTTTCATGTGTCAAATTGATTCTATATGAATGTGTGGGTGCGTGTGTGGGTAGATGGGGGAGGAGTGAGGGGGTGGGGTGGGTGTGTATGTAGGTGGAGTGGGGATGTTTTCCAAAACATGTAATATGTCTGCGTTTAATTTTCATACGCCCAAGGAAACACTGGACAAAACAGCATTGTTATATGTTCATTAACAAAAATTAGAAACACAATTGCCAATGTGGTTGATGACTAAAAAACCCAACTAGCTGAAACCAATTTATTTCATTGAAATAAACAATTTTGGTGTGTTTTTTCATCCTCCCGCCTCCCAGATTTTAGAAATGTTTTGCAACAATTACTTCAACTGGAACCTTTGAGGCTGTGATGAGAAATTTTTGCTCCCAGTAAAAATGCCGCCGCGTGGGAACAGGCAAATTGAATTAGTCTGAGTTGCCCTGCTACCACGCAGTTTGACTAACATTTAACATTTTCTGTTCCTATAGCCCGGTATCCAGTCTTGCGTGGTTGGGGGTGTTGGGGGGTGTTCAGGCAGGTTGTGCCTTCGGGGGCTCTAATATCTTCCCCCGCCCAGTACAACAGGCCGTCCCGGTAGGAGTGTTATAGGCTAATAAGAGACAGTATATGCTTGGGGATTTGGTTTCCCCCCAACACGTGGAGGGCTAATCAATCTGTCGTGAAATACACACCGGGAAACCTATGTGAGGCAGGCGGGAAAGAGCTCCTGCGGCCCCGACCACGATCAGACTGGATACCAGGCTACTGTCCCTAGGCCTTTTACGATTCTATATAGTATCAATAAACATAAAGTACTTCTAGCAATTTTATAATTTTTTGCCCCTTTTTGCTCTTTTATTTTCCGTTCTCCTACTTTTTTGTTTCAATTATGGTGTTGAGTAGAGCTGTGTACCGGTACGCAGTACCGATACTGTACCGGAAAAATTGATTAGGTACAGGTCCAAAATACCTAATCCCTCACTGTACCTAAACAATTTCACACCAATTTTATGCCTATTTGTGACCTCAAATGTTTAAATAGCTGGTTAACAATGGGTGCCTGTGTAAGGACAGTGTGTTCATGAAAACAAAAACATCTTAGTTTTGCCTATATTTTATCTGAGCATTCGCCATAAACAAAGAATAAACCTTAACTATCAAGTTTATTTATGTTTTTTTGTTATTGAAGGAGTTCAAAAGAGCATATAAATTAGTCGAATTGTTCAGGTACAGGTTCAGGTCCGGACCTGTACCTAAACCTGTGTACCTGTACCTGTACCTGTACCTAAAATTTGTTTAGGTACACAGCTCTAGTGTTGAGTCTTCGGGAAAGTCTCATTTTATTGATTGACCTAAAAAAACGCTTTTTAGCGGTTAAACCATCAACCTTTTTTTCAGAGAAAAATTGACTTTTCAAAAAAAAAAAAAAACAGCACTTATTAGCGGTTTAACCACCAAACAAACGTTACCTCACGGATTGATATATCTGTTAACTGGGATTCTACCAAGCCTCCCAGCGCTTTCTTGTTGTTATCCTCGCTATCAAAATTGCATTATGTAACATTTTACCGCCAAATTGATATACTTTATTTTACTTTTATATGCTTGTCATTTACTTTTACTTCACAGCATACATATTAGGTATTATATCATATTTCTGACATTAATGGTTAGTGCTAAAACAGTTCGCACGAGTTGCACTCATTTGGCGAAACCACCACAAAATTTAGTACCAAAATGTAAACAAACATGGCCGACAATCTAAGCATTTAAACACTATTTTAAAGCTTATAATATATATCGTAATATGGTGACTTGCTTAAAATTATACGTTTTTTGCTGACTTTAATAACGAAAATTACAAATTCGTACCTGGGGGTGGAGTATTGGGCGTGTCCTTCTTGTAGCTGGCTTGTTTCCAGTCTCCCATGGTGCAGTTCGCACCGTCGTATTCTGCGTCGAATGTGCCGCTATCTTCAGTTTGTTGGGACTGCAGGACCCAGACAAATTAGGACTGTTAGATACTAGTAACGGCCATGTAAAGTGAAACAACGTTTTGTTACAGAAAATACATACATACTGTGGTGTCGTGTGGCGTAGCGGCAGCGTGCTATACTCAGAACCAGGAGGTCCCGGGTTCGAGTCCTGGCATGCCACCGATCTTGTGCCCTTGGGAAAGGCACTTTACACGATTTTCCTTTCAAGTGAAAATGAGTATTGTCTTGTCCTGTATTTGTTCTCTGTTGGTGGAGGCATTAAGTAAGTTGATATAACTTGAGTGTGCTGTCACCATGTCTAGTCATGAAATGTAGGAATTTAAAAAAAACACATACATGACGTAGTCTTGTAATAGATGAAAACTGAAAATAAACAAAGGTATAATCTTCCTACTTTGTTTTCAGTTATATACATTTGTAAATAAATTTGTTACTGAATTAAAAATACTGAATTGTTTCGGATTGTTTTTTGAAAATTGTATTTCGACGGTCACTAAGTTTAAAATTTTGTCAACTTCTGACTTCAAATTGATTCTATTTAATCGCATAAACAGTCTAATAAATCAAATCAAATCAAATCAAACCCTTACTTCTACTACTACCACTTAGGAATCAAAACTTGGACCACCAGCATTGAAATAATCCCCTTGGCCCCTGTTGTAGCCATTTTTAACGTGCTTTATCCAGAACCATGCCTAGGCGAAACACAGGCTCTAGATAGTCCACGCGTATCCAGAACCGTGGTGGGGCAAATCTATACGTTTTTGGATACGAGGAGACTATCCAGAACTATTCCAGGTCCTTACTCTAAGCAATGTTACTTGGTGCATCTGGCGTCATAAAAACTAGCTTAAGTACACTGTGAAGCAAGTAACAGTGCACTGTGAACCATGTTTAGTGCACTATGCAACAAGTAATATAACATCTAGCGTCAGTGCAGAGCAAACCAATCAGACTTGCCCTCATTAAGATGACAGACGGTCATCGAAACGTCGGCTCGTAAAAAATAAATGGTTGTGATCAAAGAACTTTGCTAATAATAGCCTCCATAGCATGCCAAAACCTGGGGGTTTGGGGGGTCTTTATGGTCCTTTATGGTACTGAAACATCTTAGAGACTTGGCAAGAGACAAACGCAGATTGATTGATTGAACTGTACAGAGACATACACAGATTTGGTCTGTCAATTGTAGTTTGCTAATTGTAATCTGCTAATTTACAGCCAAGAGCAGTTAATTATTATTATTATTATTATGGTCCTTAAGAGCTTTTATGTGCTATTTTCTGATTGCATATAGACAACATAGCCGGCCTGGTTGAATTACCCCCGTTTTTTTTAACTGGGCTAATCAGAAAACAGCCGAAGACCACCGAACCTCCAGTTCTATAAGCCTGCTACGGAGGCTAGCTATTCAGTTACTACCACGAACAGTTGAGAAAAAAGAAAAACTCACGTCCGTCTCGTCCACGGAGTAAGTCGAGTTTCGAAAAAGGGCAAATAACTGAGAAAACATCAATATACCGACAACAGAACAATACATATAAAAAAGCAAATTTGAAATGATTAGCAGTGCCCATTTGAGCTGACTTCTACATATTATTAAGCCAAAAAAGCAGTTACTCAAGCATCTGGATATGATTTTGGATCCAGTTGCTTGAGTAACTGTTTTTTGACAGATCTTATTACCTGGATGTTTAACCTTCACCGACGTTTCTATAGAGTCGTACGCATCACTAAAACGACACTTTGTACAAAAACCTGACTCAAAAACTACTACAAACAGTCGAAAAAACTCACGTCCGTCTCGTCCACGGAGTAAGTCGAGTTCCGCGGCGTGTCGTAGATCGCCTGAAACGCGGTGCCGTCTTGATCCGTCATCCGGCTGTAGCTGGTCTGACGGGCGGTACGTGAGGAACAGAACACAGCGCCGCACGTACTACTGGCGAGACGTCCGCTCATCACTATTCATACGTTCAACACGTTACACAACAACAACACACTCAGGTAGGTGTAGGTGGGCCCTAGCCTGGGTGCCAGACCCACAGTAGCCTCTACCAGGCACAGCGGATGGCTAGAAATTGGCCGAAATAAAGGGATAGTATCAGAAGATCCCGGGCCATAGAGATCCGTGGGTCGCAAATTGGATCTTCTATGGCCCGGGATCTTCTCTGGCATACTATTTTTCCAGCGATCCGCTATGCCTGTTAGAGGCTAGACCCACAGCACACTAGGCGCACAGTTATCCTGTGTGCAGGGGTCTGGCTGGTATTTCCTAAATGCCTCTCGACCAGAGGGAGGAAAAGCTATGATTGATGGCCACTCACATCACAAGTAGTCTGTTAGAAGTAGCATATCATAGGCGGAATACAGCTCAACAGTTAATCACTAACCAGCCATTTTCCACAATGTATTTAGAGTTCATTTTCCAAAAATAAAGGAAGAGCTTACTTTAAAAGTTGAGATAGTGTACAACTAGTTTTCCTGTTTGTTGAGGTAACAGTCCTCTAACCCACCATGACAACATCTACCTTATCTAAAGTTTCAAGTAATTTCATCTGCTGGTGGCCACTGTTCAGAAGATTCAAAGATACAGCTGGGAGTTTTTAACCAATCACGACAGAGGTGTAAAATTGCTTCCTGCTGCTCCAGTGGTGGGGCATTACGTTCAAATACTGAGGGTTGGACTGACAAGTCTATCTCATCCAGACCTCTGCACACTGGATAACTTGGGCCTGGTGTGCTGTGGGTCTGGCACCCAGGCTAGGTAAGCCTACGTGTGAGCCATTTCCCTCTAAGTATGAACATTCATGATTCTGGGAAACGCCGTCACGTATACATCATAACACAGGTATACAATACTAGTATATAGCTGTCGTATACGACTATCATTTTTGTACGCAGTAGCTATGTATGAGGTATACGATATATACTATATACCATCGTACGACAGGAATACGATATATAACTGTTGTACAACTGTTGTACGAACTATCATACAAAAATCTAGCACAGCTGCTTCATCACACTTCATTGATGAAAATTATTCATAATTTTGTAGTCATCCTCATTGAGATATCATTATTGATATAGGCATCACGGCACAGTAATCTGTTTTTTTATACATAACAAATGCAGATAGACTTTTAAAACCCACTTCAAAAGTCTACTACGAATTAACATCACAATAAATGATACATTATCTCTGATCATGGAATCAAAAGAAAGCCAAATTTTCCTAAATACTGAATGATCTTCTTGTAAAAAAAGGAAAATACAGGATAAAATTTCTCGTATTCCTTAACAGCCACGAATACAAAAAAATCACATTCAAACAAAAATCAATCTCAGTACGTTCGTTACCAGGAAAAACAGTTCTTGTTTCCAATAACAAAGGTTAGCAACACCATATAAGGTTTGGCATGCAACAACTTTTTAAAAAGAGGTCAATGACGTCAGTGTTTCCATGGTTACCTAATAAGAGAAGAAGGAAAAAAAGTAAAGAAAGCTTACCTGGGATTCAGCCGGGAAAATTAGTCTGGTGCACACCTGTGACGTCATACGTTACCATGGTAACGGGTTTCTTGTACTGGTTACGCGAAACGTTTGCGGCTGTGGACAAATGTCTTTTTCCAAGAAATCGGCAATAATGTAGGGTCGTGTGGCAGAGTGCTCGACTCGAAACCAAGAGGTCCCGGGTTCGAGTCCTGACATGCCACCGATTTTGTGCCCCTGGGAAAGGCACTTTACACGACTTTCCCCACGTAACTGAGGTGAAAATGAGTATTGTATTTTCCCCTATGTTAGTGGCGGCATTGATATAAGTTGAAAAAACTTGAGTGTGCCGTCACCACGTTTTGTGATTGGAATATAAAAAAAAACGGCAATAACTGGAATGTTGGGGAAAGTTGTGTTAAGTGTCTTTTCAAGGGCACTTTACGGGCACAACGTCGGGGTATGTAGGTGGAATCGAATCCAGGACCCATGGGTGTTCGGCCCTACCATTACGCCACACAACACAACAGTTTTAAATACGCATTATATATAGGCTAGGAGTTGGTGATGTTACAATAGCTTTTAGATGAAGAATCGTAACGTTTTCTTTTAAGTTCTAGCTGCTGACAGTTTTTTTTTTCTTTTGCAGATATTGATTTTTATCATCGTAACGTTTGCGCATAGTTAAAAGATGCAAACATAAAGAAAGAGAAAAACGGGGCAGCTAAAAAGTTTTATCCTAACATCTGTTGGGAGATTTTAGGCACCTTATGGGCTCTATTCAGGGTTGTAGGGATTTGGCGAGGAAGTAACCAAATCCCGTTGGTAGTAAAGACTTTGCGAAAATAGGATAAGCATCTCTAGGTATGTGGGAAGGTTTTAATATGGCTAGTTATGTTTACCGAAGGAAAACATATTGTTTTTGCTCAGTTTCTTCTTCTTCTTCTCCAAACAGTGACCTCTGACCTGGCCAATGACCTGACGTCTCTCACCATGGTAAAAGGTGTTGGGTTACATAATGTTGCAATTTTATAGGAGGGATTTATACTCCT